GATCTTACCAGAAACAGCACAAAATTATATACTACGCGAGATGTTCATATTGTAATAAAAACTAAGAAAATCCGCCAATCTCAACCAGTGTTCAACTTAATGTCAGAAGACTGATATCATTCCTAGAACAGTGAGGTATCAGGAATGAGACACGGGGGAATGTTTTCTAAGTTGGATACCATAATCCAGTGTTCTTTATGATGACAGTCTAGCTCATTCTCAGAAGATATATCCGCTGAGAACCTGCCAGCACAGATATTTAGCATGGTGATTGCCGTTAAAGCTGAGACATAGCTGAGGACTGCTTCTTCTCTATATAAATACAGGTACTGAAATAGCAATCGATAACTTGAAGGAACAAATAAACTAACTAAAACTTGAATCAGAGCAACTCCTGGAACGAATAATAGAGAGCTGGAGAAAGAATGAGGGTAAGATATGCTTTAAATATGGGATGAATTTAGAATCAAAAAAATTGCCCAGAATGTAGTCCTAGGAACAATATGGTGTGGAGGGAGGTGGAGTCAAAACTCAGGTGCTGGCTACTGCGTTAGGGAGCATGGGTACGTATACTCAGAACAAGATTCATCAGTTTAGTTCAAAATAGACCAACAGGTTACAAGAAGACACGAACGCCGAAAGGTTAAGTCTAGGAAGACGGCCACAATTCCATGCAGAGAGTCAAATACTTATACTAGTAGAGCCATGGGAATGGCAACCATAAGAAGACAGGACAGCAAGAACTCCAGCCAGCAATTTGGGTGGCAGGCACAGCAATAATAATAATGTTGACCCAAGAGACTCTTGGCTTCAGCCAGGGAGGTTTCATATTGCATTTTATTCAGAAGGAACCCCCTGAAAGCTGTGAGCAACTGAGATAAACTAAGTAGCTGTAGGAACACGCCTAGGATTGAGAGCGGAGAGAAGGGTAGATTAAGGTCATTAAGACAACATCTGTACTCTTTGAGGAAGACGCGGTAGCAGCTGCACTGGAGCTCTGTTCCGCCCGCTCCTGCTCCTGACCCACAGCCGTCCAACTTCCACGAGGAA